TTTTTGAAGTGGGTTTTGAAAGAAGGGGTTAATGGCTGTGTCTGAGGGAGTAGCAATAATGCAGCTGGGCAACTTTGCTAGTTGCCAGCAGCAGCATTCTACACATTCTGGAGTCCTGAGAGTGGCAATTTTGGAGACTTGCAGAGGAGAAGACATAACTGAGAAAGCCAGGAGAGGCCCGAGTAAGAGTTTCAGCAGAAAAGGTGTTTCAATAATGGTATAAAGATATACTTTGAAGGTAGCAAGTGGAAGTGAAGATGTAGATGGTGTGGGTGATACCGAATTCAAAAGTAAAAATGACGTCAAGATTAAAGATAGGCGTAAAGTGATAGCTTAAAGCAGAGATGAAATTGCGTCAGAATATCCTGCTTATCAAGGAGAAGAGCTTTAAAGCAAGGTGAATTCCGATAGTGAAATACTTGGGATATTTTTAGTAAGCAGAATATTGCATTTATAAATTACTCTTGTTGGAATGATTACTTCTCTTTTATTAAAAAAAAAACAAGTAAGTGATCATTTTAAAACTCATTGACTTTAAAACTCTCCTTTTTTATTTTTTTACAGTTCAGAATTTAATGCTTTTCTGCAGAAGAGGACACATCTAACTCCACGTTGTTCTGCAAAGGAACCAGGTTTCATCCCTAAACCTCGCACTTTAACAAGTCCGAAAGTGTAAAAGGTAAAATTGTATTTCTGTAATTAATAAGGTTCCTATGGCTGTCGATTATCAACACTGAAGGGCTGGGTAGCAGTGTTAAGTAGTGTCTTTTGTTCTCCAGAACATAACTGAATTTGAATCTTAGAAATAGACATAGTCCTTGATTTCCCTAGTGTTTGCTTTAAACTTGACCGGTTTCATTGGAATTCTCTCTGCAGTCTTATCCATTGGCATGTATAAGTGCTGAGAATGTTCAGCGTCTTGCAAATTTTGATGCAAAGACAGAAGGGTCAGACCTTGAAAAGTGAGAAACAAATGCACTACAGGTGCCCTTCCTGTAGTCTTTAAGTTCTTTTAACTGTTTGTCTTGGATACCAAATCTAAGTTGCCAGTTCTGACATAGGATCTGTATACTGTAATAAGTGAATGATTTTGTTAAATCCTAGAAATTGAGTGCTTTGTTAAAGTGAAAATACTGACTTTTAAATTCTGATTCTGCATAATGATGTCAGTTAATGTCACAGGTGAAAGTTTTCTGTATTTAGCTGTACATGTATTTTTCTTTTGCAGATTAAGAGAACAGTATATCATTTGTCCTACAAAATTTCATATTACCCTTGATCCCTATAATGTTAGGTACCAAATTCCTTTAAAAATTAACACAGGGCTAAAAGTATAGTTAGTGTGTACCTGTATTAGTGTGTAAGCTAAATGAAAACAAGTTTCTAATTGGTGTCTTGATTTTAAACTTAATTCCATGCCAGTGATGGTAGTTTGCTTTTACTGCTGAGCAACCTGTCTGTTGTTGCATGCTTTTGACAAAAATTCAAACACACACTTCCTCATAATTTACTTTCCTTGTGCCATTTTTGGCTGGTTTTCAAATAGTGCAACTCCATTACTTTACAAAACTTAGCCAACTAATTTGGGGAATTTAATTTGTCAGTATGGCCAGTGCAATTGTTATTTTGAAGATTTGGAGTGAAGGTATGGTTTGCTTCCAGTGTGTCTTCAAAGCACTAGATTTTGGACAATAAAGGCAAGACGAAATTGGGTCGTATTAATTGAAGAAGTGGGTAAGAAGGCTCATGGGGCATTTGGGCAAAACTGCATGCACACCTCGTGGTGCATCTTGAAAGAGATTGTGCTGCAGCAGAGCTCTCCTATTTATTTTTCTGCTGCACTCAAGTTATGAAACTTTATGGGCAAAAATACTAGTCCTTTGAAGCAAACCTGCATAGTATGTGGCTGTTGTAGACTCTGAGACAGTTTGGTTGAAACATAAGCTTCCTTCCTCAGTTTCCCCATATATTAGAAAACTGGGATAAGATTTTCTTCGAACATTTTACAGACTGGCCGGATCATGGAGCTGCTGCCATATTTCTTATGGTATTAACACTGCAAGTTCCACTGGATTTGGCACTCTCAGAAACAAACAAATCCTTCCTTCTCAGAAACTATGAGTCACTAAAGTGACTAAAACCAGCTCATTTGAAATAAATGGCAATGCCTTTTTGCTATTAAGTTTCTAACATAGTAAAAATTCCCAAAGATCTGCAAGTTCAGCTCATATAAAACTTCTTGCTGCATGCAGTTGTTCCTTAATCACTGACAATGTTACAATCTTGCTGCGCCATTTGAGCGGCCTCTAACAACTGACTTTTCTATATCAAAGAAAAAGGTTTAATTGTATTGGTTTATGTTTGACTTTCAGCCTTTCTGTAACCTGTGTCATTTTGTAATTTTTGGGTACCTAAAATTAGGTACTTCTTGAATTAAATATTTATTTTAATTTTATATTCTTTCTCTCACTATTAATATTTCATTCACATTCTTTGTTCAAAATCATATGTACAGCTGGAAAACAAAAAACTTACTGCTGAAACTTTGTAATGAATAAGTGACTGCTGTAAGAAATGGCCAGGTTGACTAACTTTCTCACAGTATGAAGATCACATTCTAATAGGTATCTTGTTTTTATCATTTCACATGTCTATTATAACAATGTGTTCAATAAAAAAATACAGTAAGAAATAAAATATAGCTGTAAAATGCTATATCCCAAATGCTTTCTGTTTGCACAATTTCTAAATAGAATGTATTACTATTTAGGAATGTATTTTACATCTGTACAACCTTCAAAATTATGAAAGTCTTTTAGGTAAAAGTTAAAATAAAAATGAAAAGCTATATCTGAATTCAGAGTCAGAAAAAGGTTTGTATTGGTTTAGTCCAGACTTGTTTATCGTGGCATTTAATAAAACAATGTTCCCTTGAACTCTCTGTCATGTAAAATGAGATATTAAAATCCAGGTTATGATGGTAATGGAGACTGCATTAGAGAAGTAGGAGGGCAGAGCAGAAGATTGGAAGAGAGGGGAAGATTAAGAGCAGCTTATAGAGCAAATGAAAACTTCAGTATGCTCTAATGAAGAACATGTTTGTTCCTCCAGAGTCACATTTTGATATTTTTTTTTCTCTTACAGGCAAACGTACAAATGTCTACTACAAGACTAAAGTGTGATATGTTATGTTTTTTACCATAAGCACCCATAAAATGAGCTCCATTGCAGACAGGTATGTTAATAGATACTGAGAGTTTTGGGGGAATTACTGCTCAATGGTTTCTTTAATAATCTTTTTCATATGATTAATATCTAAAGAATATTAATTTATGCAAAAAATAAAAGGAGTGAGTTTTTGGCTATTTTTGACAAAGTTATTTTGGTAGTTGTTAGATGTGTTGTTTTGTAGTCATTGGAAATAGTAATTTTTATTGTTTGAGTTGAGTCTTAAAATGTATTACTTGTTTGCAGCTATGGAACAGCATCTGTGCAAGTTGAGTTGATTTTTAATGTTTATTTGGATTTTTTTTTTTATACTTCAATATTTGATTAAGGAAAACAAATACATTTAAATGATTAGTGATGCTGGAGATGACAGTAAAGTGACCTGCTAACCTATTTCAAGGGAAAAGTAATAGCTGAGACATGTTTTCTACCTGATGCCTTAAGCTGGACTTTCTTAGCAGCTTAGGTGAACATCTGTCCTTAATATTCTGTGTATTACCATTTTTCAGACTTCAGGAGATGACACTTGCATCAAATTTACAGAAAGTTAAACCTGATAGAAATAAATAACAATAAAAGTAAAGGGTAAAACTTTTAAAATGCTTGTCTGACTTGTCAATTCTTTTAGTGAACTTTTGTGGCATTTCACTGAAACTTCAGCCTTTTGAGTATACAAATTCCTTTTAAAAGCTTTATGTTTATGTAGTAGCGTACAAAATAATTACTTCCTAACATCACTGCTTGTCGTAATGTACAATTGCTTGATGATTTATCAGTTATAAATCAAAGAGATGAAGTCAGCTTTTTAGAACGACGATTACTTGCCTTAAGGGAAGGAAACGTTAGGATAAAAAAATTAAGGGTGGACACACAGAGGTCTGTGTGGACAGCACTAAATAGACTGAAAGTAGACAGAAGTTGTTAGAGAAATAAAATGTGGAAGTCCATTGTACAGTGGTTTTGGAAAACTTAAGAACTTGACTTTTAAAACAAAAGGAAGTGAAACAAAGGTGTTGTATGGAGTATACTGAGGCATCTTCAAAGGAAAACACATTCTTATTCTGATATTTTGATATGTCTTTAGCAGTACGTGGACAGTTGTCAAGCTGAGGAAAAGTTATGTGATACTTGGTGAGGAAGCAAATATAATGAATAATTACTGTTACTGTGTAATGTTGATATTAATTGTATATTTATAGAATTACATATGTGGAATGAAGTATAGCATATTCCTCAGCCCTCTTCATTAATAATACCTCAGTATTTAAGAAAAATGTACTTTCTTACTATAAATATTTCCAATAATTGGAATAGAAGTTGCAATAAATAAAAATAAATTATATATGTCCTCTTTCATGTTTTCAAAAGGGTTAGGTAATGCAAATAATCAAGATAGAAAAATAAAATTAAGTAGTGTTCAATTAAGTATTTGCATAGCGTAGTAAGTTCTCGTTAGAAATAGTCTGAAAATCCTTTAAGTTGTGTCAGAAATGTAAGGTGTTTTGCTTTCTCTTTAGTAAATGTCCTACAAGGAGAACTTATAGCAGACTTGGCTTCAGATTATTGATGATGGTCCTTGTGAGACATCACAGTAAAACAGTGCTTCGGTTTCTTGATGTAATGGAGATGATGAATAATGAGCTCTTCCCCCCTCCCCCCCCCCCC